TATAACTCAAAGCACTATAGCGTGGGTTCGGTAAACCGTTTCTTCCATGTGGAAGTAAATTGATAGAACTTTCTAATGCTGTGTGGTTCATTAAAATCTGATAACTTCGAAAAGTCGGTGAATTTTGAAGACTTTCACTACTTTTGCGCTATTTAGAAAAAATTTCTATAGCTCAAAGTATGAGTGTGGGTTTGGAAACTGTTTCTTCCATTTGAAAGTAAAATGAAAGAGATTTTCAAATGTGTATGGTTCGTTAAAATATGACTAACGTTGAAAAATCAGCGATTTTAAGATTTACATTACTTTTGTGATGTTTCGGAAAAACCTATCAAACTCAAAGCACGAGTGTGTTTGGAAAACCATTTTTTTCATACGAAAGTAAATTGATAGAGTTTTTCAATAGTGTAGGTACGACAAAATCTGATAACTTCGAAAAATCGATGATTTTGAAGATTTGCACGAATTTTGCAATGTTTTGAAAAAAAAAAAAAAAAAACTTTATAACTCAAATGCCGGGTGTGGGTTCAAAAAATCGATTATTCCATATAAAGTAAATTGATAGAACTTTCCAACAATGCATGGTTCGTCAAAATTTTAAAAATCAAAGACTTTTTATGATGAATTTTGTACTATTCTAGAAAACCTTTATAACTCAATCACAGATTCAATATCAAAAAACCATTTTTATCCTGTGAAAGTAAATAAGCAGAGCTTCAAACGGTGTATGGTTTGTCAAATTATTAAAATTTCGAGAATTGGTGATTTTTTAGAATTTTTATGACGTTTAAGAAAAACCTTTATACTTCAAAGTAAGGGCCCGTTTGATTGCAAGGGTGAAAAATTGATAGAAAGAAAATGAATTTCAGGGAAAGTAATTGCTTAGAAATTGTTTTGTAAGGAATTGTTAATTTTGTGTGTTTGATTGGTATAATTTTTCACCTGAAAAATTTTTAAATTTTGTGTTCGTTTCACTTTATTTTACATGGAAATTATCCATTAATGTGATAATTTTTTCCACAATTAGTTNCTTTGCAATAATTGAGAGAAAAACACCAAGTAAAAGGGAGATTCACGAGAGGAATTACATCAAGGATTCGAGTTCAAATAGAAGATTGGAAGTGGAAGAAGATCTTGGTGCAATGGCTTAATCTTTCCATCTTTTGTATCAATCAAATCTGGTGATGTACTCAGATTTTGTTATTTATTTTATTATTTTATGCATGAGTAGCTAAATTCATTATTAGGGCGAACAATGTAATCTGTTGAAACCCTTAGTTATTTTAATTCATGAATTCTGAGTTTCCATTATTCAATGTATTGATTTTATTATGTGTGCAATGCTTCAAATTACTTGGCCATTAATTTGATGATTTATTGAGTTTCTTACGAGTCGAGAGGTGAGTTCGAAACTTAGAACGTGTAATAAAATCCGGTAGTGAGGTATAACGTGTAGAGATACCTATACTAAGTGCCGCGGTCGTTTAACTAAGGAGAATTTGTATAGAGATATGGAATTGATTTAGTTAAATAGGTTCAATGAGAACTCGAGAGGTGTAAATTGAATACCGTAGGAGAATTCGACCGAACACTACATTAGGCTAGAATCTTGAATTGGTAATTAAGGTGATCATTAGGTGAAATTGTTTTGCCCTAATACTTCTCACATATTTGAATTTTCGATCTGTTTATCTCCAATATTCTAGACATCCATATTCATCACAATCTGAATTTTGAGTTCGTTTATTTTCATCAAATAGTAGTAGGAGAAATATTTTAAGCACTAAAGTTAGTTCTTGTGGGAACGATAATCAGGACTCTTAGGTCCACTATATTACTTGTTCGATATCGTACACTTGCGATATAAAAATAGGCAACAACATGATTTTCGTATTGTTACGAAAAAACCTTTATAACTCAAAGCACGAGTGTGAGTTCGAAAAATCATTTCTTTCATATGAAAATAGTGTGATAGAGCTTTTCAATGGTGTATGGCCGTCAAAAATTAACAAATATGAAAGCAAATATGAAAGAAGGTAAACTTTGAAGATCTTGCACAACTTTTGACATGTTCCAATAAAACCCCTATAATTGAAAGCACGGATGTGGATTCAAAAAATTGTTTTTTCATATGAGAGTAACTAATATATATTTTCAACTGTGTATGGTTCATTAAAATTTGTTAACTTTGAAAAATCGAAGATTTTTGAAGAGTTTTACTACTTTTGTGCTATTCCTGGAAAAAATCTTTATATAACTCAAAGCACTATAGTGTGGATTCGGTAAACCGTTTCTTCCATATGGAAGTCAATTGATAGAACTTTCAAATGCTGTATGGTTCATTAAAATCTGACAACTTCGAAAAGTCGATGAATTTTGAAGACTTTCACTACTTTTGCGCTATTTCGAAAAAACCTCCATAGCTCAAAGTACGAGTGTGGGTTTGGAAACCGTTTCTTCCATTTGAAAGTAAAATGAAAGAGTTTTTCAAATGTGTATGGTTCGTTAAAATATGACTAACGTTGAAAAATCAGCGATTTTAAGATTTACATTACTTTTGTGATGTTTCAGAAAAACCTATCAAACTCAAAGCACGAGTGTGGTTGGACAACTATTTTTTTTTTCATACGAAAGTAAATTGATAGAGTTTTTCAGTAGTGTAGGTACGACAAAATCTTATAACTTCGAAAAATCGATGATTTTTGAAGATTTGCATGAATTTTGCAATGTTTTGAAAAAAAAAAAAAACTTTATAACTCAACTGCCGGGTGTGGGTTCAAAAAATCGATTATTCCATATAAAGTAAATTGATAGAACTTTCCAACAATGCATGGTTCGTCAAAATTTTAAAAATCAATGACTTTTTATGATGAATTTTGTACTATTCTAGAAAACCTTTATAACTCAATCACAGATTCAATATCAAAAAACCATTTTTTTCCTATGAAAGTAAACTAGCAGAGCTTCAAACGGTGTATGTTTTGTCAAATTATTAAAATTTCGAGAATTAGCGATTTTTTAGAATTTTTATGACGTTTAAGAAAAACCTTTATACTTCAAAGTGGGTTTAGTATCGGGAAACCATTTTTTTTTTTCATATGGAAGGAATCTAATTGACTTTTACAATAGTGCAATAATTGGTCAAAATCGGAATTTTTTTAAAAATCACTTATTTTTGACACTGGCGAACCCGGGGTCCACGGGCACCTGCCCCCAACTTTTGAGAATTTTTTTTTTAAAATTCATGTTTGAAATAGATTAAAATCTAAATTTTAATCTAAATTAAAGTTAATAATTAATTTTAATAACATATTTTATGGAATCCATAATTATTTAACTTTTATCAAAATTTACTAAAAAATTGATTTTAATTTCCACCAAACATGGGTAAAATTAAAATAAATTTGAATTTCGATAATATGCTAATTTTAAAAATTCTCCGACGATCGTACGCTGATCGAATCTACAAATTATTTACGTCATTTCAAAACTTATTTCTAGAACTACATTATGGGCATATCGAATAGTTCAAACAGATATTGAAAATATTTAAAAATACGTTAAACGTGAGTCTTAAAGAAAGACGTCTAACTCACATATTTTTTTTAAAAAAATTCAATTATTTCATTAACATTTATTATTTTTGCGATATAAATTTCTCAATGTAATTTTCATCATTTTATTAGGAAATTTTATATGGAATATGAAATCAAAATTTTTCGAAATTTTACATCCGAAAAACTTATATCCCATGTAAATTTTCGGATGCAAAATTACACGAGGTATGATTTTTTTGGACGTAAATTTTTAATTGTAAAATTTTTCTTAACTTTTTTACAAGTTCGATTGTGCCCCCTAACTTTAAAACTCTGGATCCGCCCCTGCTTTTTGAAGATTTGCACAGACGATCAAAACAATTTAATGTCATTAAAGATCGTCTTTTGGAAGAAATGCACAATAGTGTGTGATGGGTAATGGGGCCACATTATTCCATGTTCTGTAGTAATTAAAATTTATATTTTAATTTAAGTCAGTGAACGATCAATTTTAATCACATATTTCATGAATTTCATAATTTTTCAACCACACATTTCATTAATATTTTTCAAAATATACTAAAAATCCGATTTTAATCACTGTCAGGGTCTAAAATTTTAAATTATAATTATAAATCTAATTTTAATCTCCAAACATGAGTCTAAAGTTTTAAATTGCAACTATAGGGTGTGTTTGTGGCACATTATTCTGTAAGAATATATTTTAGAATGTTTGATTGATGGAGAATGTGTAGTTGAAAAAGAATGATAAATTATTGATATGATGAAAAATAATATTTTATTGAAAAATACGTGGCTAAAAATAAGTAAAAGAATGAAAATGAAAATTTTATCCCTCAAACATTGGCTATAATTGGAAATAAATGATGGAATCTAAAGGACTTCCCCCCCGGATTAGTGGCGCAAAATTAAACCCTCACATTTTTGGATCAGAATTCATAAGCGGTGAGTGGGTGCTGGGGCCGCCTTTAACCTCGCTAACTGACTGGAAGGAAATCGGTGAAAATAGGAGATGCGGTCGAAGCTGAAGAAGCCAGAAAATAAAACTCTGTTCATATATATATATATAGAAAATAACACTGAAACAAAGGCATTTGCGTAAGCAAGAATCGATTATATAGTTGTAAATCTTGAATCTTTGCTTCCTCTGCAAATGTTCTTTTCCTTTCTTCTCTTGTCCTCTCTGTTCGACTTTCTTGTATATAAAGATTAGTTTTTATCCAGTTACCAAAAAAAAAAAATAATAATAAATAATTCTCTTCTACATACTGGTATTCTTTTACCATTTTTATAATAAATAAGTAATAGTCCAATAGAGATCAGTTTTTGATCAGTTATCAACGATTCTTGTTGATTTTTGACACACATCTCGATTTCACATCAACAAAACTAACAGCAGTGTGTGTGTGTGTATATTCCTCGAGAAAGACGAGGGGGAGAGATAAAATGTCGGGATGGAGGAGATTAAGAGACATAGCATTGAAGGCATCGAAGAGAGGTACCCAGCACCAGGTGCAGTTGCAGTTGCAGAAGCGGGGTTTTGTGAATTGCATTCACGTGGGCTCTTATGTCAAACGGAGAGAATCTTTGATTGGAGTGCAGGAGAGGTACAAGTGGAACCGGGGTGGCGCTGGCGATGAGTATCAAACTCGGAAAATTAAGGCTGAGGCAAATTGCCCACGTTGCTCCAAGCAAATGGATCTACTCTTTACAAACCGGCCCCATCTCCTAAATCCGCCCTCTTCCAATCCCGATTCCTCTTTCGATTATATCGATGCAACTTCTAATACCACCACTGCAAATACGAATGATAACAGTAATAATAGTAACTCAAAAGGTGGAGGTGGAGGTAATGCTTTCCAAGCGTTGAATCTGTGCCCCAGTTGTAAGACGGCTTATTACTTTAGGCCATACAAAATGTCACCTCTTCAGGGAAGTTTCATTGAGATTGGGACTGTCAAAAGCAAGAATTCAAATTCGGAAAAGAAATTGGCCGAAGCTGAAGATTATGGGAGGAGGATTCGAGCTTCATTTTGGGAGACCTTGAAGTCATATGGCAGTGAGCCACCAGAGAACTGGCCTCCTCCTCCACCTCCATCTGGGAATGGGCTGGCGGTCCATACACCACCTGGACCTCCTTTTGCCCCTGGTGTCAATTTAATAAGGGCATCAGGTAATGGGGGCAATGGTGGCAGTGGAAATGATGGTCAAAATGGTGGTGGTAATAATGGAGAGAAAAGCAGCTGGGGTGGGTCTGAACTAGGTAGAAATTTACCCACGCCAAAGGAGATCTGCAAGGAACTTGACAAGTTTATCATCGGCCAGGAACGTGCTAAAAAGGTCCTCACTTTGTTGCTTTAATATGTACATTCATTCATTGGTTATGCACAGCCAAATATATACTCATTTATGTTCAAAAGTCATAACTAAACTGGAAAAATGGTAATCGCCATCCTAATACCAGAACCATGCTAATTTAGTGTTCGTTTGTTGAGAGATTATTTGAAGTGAAAAAAGTTTTATTTTTAGGAGAAAGTACAAAAAATAATCGGATCACGTGCAAAATTATTTTATTTGTTACGATATGTGATTGAAAATGCGTTTGAGGAAAAATGATTTCCAAATAAGTTGTGCCAAACAAACACTTAGATTTATGCAATGTCACAAATGGCGATTGTGTTAATATTTGTTCAGATTATTGAAATCTGTTTTATATTATTACAAGATGCTCAACTGCACATTTTAATTACTATCTTTCTGGAAGTCGTATTCATCAGTCATTTGCAGTTAGGCTGATGCATATTTTACCTTTTAATACTTTATTTCTTTTTATCTTGCTCTTTGATTGTTTAAAGCATTCTGTTTTGCTTAATTATCTTTATAGCATTTCCCTGCAAATTTTCTGCAGATATTTCTACCCCAATTAACCTTTTGTACCTCATATTTTCTTGGTTGATGTTTCCAGGCGCTTTCAGTGGCTGTTTATAACCACTACAAAAGGATATATAATACGTCCTTGCAGAAAGGGTTAGTGATATTATATATAGCTGTTCATTCATATATGGGCCTAGTAGGCACGAGGCCAACAATGACTTGTTTTTACCCCATGCCACATTTTTCACAAGAGAATGTCTACTAGTGGCCTTTTATGTCTTGTTTATGCTTTGAAATTCTGTAAGTCGATACTAGGTCGGAAGCTGAAGCAGTTAGAGTAGATGATGACGACAATGTAGAATTGGAAAAGAGCAATGTGCTTTTAATGGGCCCTACTGGCTCAGGTATACCTCACCTGTGGCTTCCATTGAAATTGTTTTGGCTTAACTATTTATACTAGATGCATAATATCAAGCGACATAACCTTTTCATCTTAAATAAGTTTTGACAACGTAGGCTGTTTCCGTTGAACAGGTAAAACACTGCTCGCAAAAACCCTTGCTCGTTTTGTGAATGTGCCTTTTGTGATTGCAGATGCAACAACTTTGACACAGGCAAGTGCTTATTTTTTTTTGGCTCAACTTGTAAGAATAAAAATTTATGTACCCTTGCAAGTAAATGACAACATTTATTTAGTTTACATGTTAAGTTTCGTTGGCGGAATTCGATTAAATTGTTCGTTCATGTCAACAACACCGTACATTTGACTCCATGTCCTCACACAATTGCGATTGCAAAAATGCATTTTATTGCATGAAATTCTAGCCTTATAAGGTAACAGAGAAATTTAAGTTTAGTGGCTTGAGTGGAAATTTTGATACCCTTCCTCATCTGATTTTACAGCTCTTGTCTTCTGGTTTTGTACCTTTTTCCAACTTCTTCAATAAATCTTAAAAAAACATAGCTATTTTGCAGGCTGGTTACGTTGGTGAAGATGTTGAATCAATATTGCACAAATTGCTCGCGGTATTAATCTATTTTTCTTTATATTTGGCATAGGTTGCACAAATTCAAGTTGTTACTTGTAAAATTTATGTCTAGGGTTGTTATACAAGCAATGGCAAACCTTGTTAATTTACCAAGCTCGGCTTTTATGCCTAAGCTTCACTGCTTCAAGAAGACAACAACATTCTGAAAATCTTCCTTTTTTCATGCTGTATATGTAACAATTAGTATGTGACAGTGAATGGGATTCTTTAGTTTTGGTTTTAGGAATAGAAAAACTGCATTACAGAAATTTAATTTCAAGCATTTTGCTGTTTTACCACGTTAACTTCAAATGTTATCTCGTCTGATGCTGAAGATACTATGGATCTTGCATGGTTTTGTATTGACTTTACTTTATTATGATAAAACTAGTGTCCAGTAACCTTTCATTTTACCAACTCAAGTTGGTAAAATTAGCCATGTTCTTAGAGATGGTTTTTATATGTTTATGTGATTCGTTAGTGTATTTATATTAGGCTTTGCCTGCTAATCCTCATGTGTGTTATCCATTGTGCTTCATTTTGCAAATTTTCTATCCGTATACATTTATCGAGGAAACTGGCTATCTGACCTTTCTAATTTGGGATGAAGGTTGCTGAGTTTAATGTACAAGCTGCACAGCAAGGGATGGTTTACATTGATGAAGTTGATAAGATAATAAAAAAGGTTCTTGTCTTTCTCTATTTCCTTATACGAGCTTCTTCTTTATATGAATATGGTTCTATATTCCAATCAACCTTTCTGTATTGTTTGTGTTGTATTCAAGGCTGAGAGCTTAAACATCAGCAGAGATGTTTCTGGTGAAGGTGTTCAGCAGGCACTACTGAAAATGCTAGAAGGGACTGTGAGTAACAGTGGTCTTACTTGTTACAAATGATTGGCGATGATTTATTTAATTATTTGTTTCATGCATACACCCACATGAACAAGAATGTACACAAAGCAGGCCATTCAGGGAGGGCTAGGTGATCGGCTTGTAAAGGGCTCATTTGTTTTTGTTCATTTTACAAATGACCCTTCTTGAACATTACTATTGGGCTTGTTCAGCTAAACATCCGAGCTTGAATATGAAGAAACTTGTTCTGCTTGTATGTTTGAGCTAAATACAGTATGCACACATAGAGTGGCTTTCTTAATTAATAGAGTGCTTCCTAATTCCATTTATATGGAACTACCAGATAAGTAAAAGTGGAGAACTATAGGGAAAAGCTGACTTGTTCAACTAGACCTTTTACATTTGTCTCCCCCCCCCCCAATCCTCTTCACAAAGCCTCCAAAAGCAAAGAGATATTATACGATGTATGTGGAAGACAAAATTAAAATAAACAAATGTTCCCTCTCACTAACAACTTAAACTTTTATGTGAGATGGTTCGATATAGTATCAGAATAGCGAAGATTCGCAAAGGTCTCTTGAGTTCAAGTCTTTTATTACCTATTTATGAAAATTTTGCACGTATCACGCATTTGTTGAAAAAAAAATGAATTTATCCTACATGTGAAGGGGCATGTTGAAAAAATAAATTTAAAAAGACCAATTTATCTAACAGCTTAAGGTGTTAGATGTGCTGATTTTAACAAAATATACTGTTATGAATCTTGTAAAATGGGCGACTATAAGTCTTCTGTTGAAAATTGTAGAAAATGAAACACACGAATTTCTGTGTGAATTGATCTCTTTCGCTATTTTTCTGGATTTATATACATATGGATGAAAGAAAAAAAAGGAAAAAAACAATCTCCTAAATTAGGAGAGAATAAATCAGCCTACCTAATTATGGAAATATTTATACTATGTTGCTCGGACTCAGGTACGGGTATGTATTTAAGTGTTGGATCCAATATTTTCTAAAATATAGGATACGGAGATATGACTAAAAAGAGTCCAGATTTTGGACACAGGTACGTGGGTACGTCTTTCAAGCTTCAATTTTTTTTATTTATCCAATATGTCATTTTAAATATACCAAAATCAATCATTCGCAAAGAAGGAAATGAGTATTGAATCAGGGGTTAAAACGAATAAAATGAAATTTTGGGGTTTAGTTTTCAATTATAGAAAGTTAATTACTAAATATTATATAAAATAGAAAATGAGGGATTTGATTACAATTTAAACTTAATGGAATATTAAGTTGCACTATATTGAATCATTTTCATTTCATAAAAAGAAAACCCTAAACCGTCAAGGAAAGAAGGGAAAAAAAGAAGAAAAGGCAAAGAGAAAAGATAGAAGAAAAAGAAGGGAAAACTTTGTGCTGTCGCCGAATAAGAAAAGGGGAAGGAAAAGAAAAAGTAGAAACGGCAAAGTGTCCGGTTGAAATTTGGAGGATCCGACACATATCCCATACTAATACCCATGTCGTATCATGTCCGACACTGGTACTTTGTCCATTTCGAAGAGTTCGAGCATCAATATATTTATATATGGTACATCAATTATCCGAAAATCAATTCCTAATCTCCTACAATCATTCTAATTTCTACACTCCCCTGAAGTTGGATGGTAAATGTTGACCATATCCAACTTGCAAATAAAATTATCAAGACTTTATCTAGATATTCTTTTGGTGAAGATATATCCAATTTCTTCATTTGTAGAAACGTAGGCCATACAAATCATTCAATCTTCAACTTTTTCTTTGAAGAAATTTTCTGTCTACTTTTACATATTTGGTTCGATTGTGTTGCGCTGGATTTAGAGAATCCCAGTATAGTTTGATGGGAAATTTTATGGTAACCTGTAATTCTTCCAAGAGTTTTTTTAACCACAATCCTTCACATATTTCTTGTGCAACAACTTTAAACTCGGCTTCTACACTGCTTCTTGCCATTATATTTTGTTTTACTACTTCTCCAAGTTATGAAGTTTTCCCGTACAAAGATACAGTAGCCGGTAGTTGATCTTCTATCTTCTATGGAACCAACCCAGTCTGCATTTGTGAATACTTCTACTTCATTCCCTTCATTTTTCTTGAAGAATATTCCATTTTCAGAGGAGCTTTAAGATGCCCAAGAATTCTATTTACTACTTTCAAAGAATTTTCTTTAGTGAATGCATATGTTGGCTTACCACGGTTACTGCGTATGCAATGCTAGGTCTAGTATGAGACAGATAGATTAACCTCCCAACTAGTTGTTGATATCTGCAACTTCCATTCCCAATAAATATCGCATTTGTCCTAGGTCTTTAACCTCGAATTCAGTCGTCAGGTGTTTCTTCAGTCTATAAGATGGGACATGGTAATATTCATTTTAAGTGTTGAAAAAGAAAGTTTTCAATGAAAAGGGGAAAAGGTTGAAGGGAGGAGGAAACAACACTTCAAATTGGTTTAAGAATATTTAGTAGGGAATTTCTCTATTGTCGTAAGGGCTGCTGGGTGAGTATAGATGAGAAGTTAGGGTTGGCACTACTTGATAAACCAGCTACCTAAGCTTGCTGGTAAATGAGTATCTGAGAGGATTAGCGCTGCTGATAGAACCTTGTAAACAATTTAATTATTGCACATTATTTTTATAGAAGAATCGAATAGTACTTCCCTGACAGCTTCTTGTTAAGTTGCCATATTTGCCAATGACAATGAAAATTGAAGTAGGGCCTTTTCCTTTAGATCTATAAACGCTGGAATTTTTCCTCCTGAAATTTGTTTTTTCATCCATTCTGTAAAATAGAACTAGTCATAAAAGCAGATACTTTGGAAGCCCAGATCTGGACTGTGTCCCACGTTACTTAAGAAGACTTTTTTGTCAAAAAGGAAGCGCACGTCCTTTGTAGATTATCTTTTAGTGTATTGTGCTAATTGTTTACTTCAGTTGCATTTTGCTTAGCATATTTAGGGGTATGTTGGAATGTTGTGTGAGAAATGGCTCTTCTGTATGAGCTCATCTGTTATATTGTCGGAGTTAGTGTTCAATAGAGTTCGGTCAAAGTTAGATATTGAAATTTCATTTCTTTGTTTGCTCAGGTCTGCAAGTATTCTTGGGACCCCAATTTTGTAATGTATATATTTTTGAATTAATAAAAGACTAGTAAAATTATTTTATTTTATTTTTCCAACTTCTTCACCTGTTTCCTTTTTTATTTCCGTTGTTGCTAGAGACCTGCCACATAACTTAAGGCTATCATTGTCACCTCTAGAAGTCCTTCCTACAATCTCTTGCTACAAACCTAACCTTTTCCCCAGATTGCTGGCCAGATTTTACATCCCTGTTTCACCGAAAGTTTGCAAACAAACTGTTCTTTAGTACATCGCTTTCTCAATTCCACATCCTAAACCCACCAAATCAAGCCTACTGGTGCTGCATTGGAGGGAAGCTATAAGTCTATAACTATTAATTTTTGAATTTTTAAAGTGCAATGTACTGTGCATCTAAGCATGTCAAGTTTTCAGTTGTTATGTTGATTGTACATGGTTGTTTAAAATTGCACATACTTGTTGGATTGTTTTTGTATCTGTAAGACACACTTGACATTTTGCACTTTCATGAAGTAAATCAAGGTCCATTTTTCTATTTAAGGCGACAATTATTTTAGATTTTGATCAGCTTTAGTGATTGTTTGATGTAATCAGAAAATGCTTTTTTACTTCCAGATAGTAAATGTTCCAGAAAAGGGGGCAAGAAAGCATCCTCGGGGTGATCATATTCAGGTATTATAGTTCAATTGTCTGTTGTTCTTTGAAATTAGATGCTGTCATCTCCCCACTCCAGTCTTCATTTCCATTCCATCTCACTAATGTTGTATAGTGCTAAACCTAGCACTGTGGATCAATCAAAGTTAATCATTATATGAGAGAGAGAGAGAGAGAGAGAGAAAGAGAGAGAGAGAGTACAGTATTGCAATTCTGTGTTATATTGGTTTATTCACACAATCCACTGTGGGTAGAACCACCACCACACATTCCACTGTGGGTAGAACCACCGAGTCATGTACAAGTTTTTTTTCTTTTTCTTCATTATAGATCTTTCTTGATGATGTATACTGCTCCACTTAGCATGTATTCAACTATCTTTCTATGTTTGTCAGATAGATACAAAAGACATCCTTTTCATTTGTGGAGGAGCATTTAATGATTTGGAGAAAACTATTTCTGAAAGGTGATGCTTGCACTTTGCTACCTCCTTGTCTGTAAGATGCTCTGTTAAATAGAACTATTACTTGTATCTTGTGGACTCTGATGATCCTAAAAATGTAATCTATTTTTTTTTTCTAGACAGCAGGATTCATCAATTGGGTTTGGAGCTCCTGTTCGTGCTAACATGAGAGCAGGTGGAGTGGTTGATTCTGCTGTAACAGCATCCTTACTAGAATTTGTAAGATTAAAGATCCTTGAATCTCTAAGATTTATCCTTGCCTTGCATGAAACTGTTACTCTACAATAAGCTCTTAGCTATATTTTTGTCCTGAAAAAGAAATTTAATATTTTCAGGTCGAAAGTAGTGATCTTATTGCCTATGGCCTCATACCAGAATTTATTGGGCGCTTCCCTATTTTAGTTAGTTTGTCTGCTCTTACAGAGAACCAACTTGTTCAGGTAAAAGCGATAGCTCTGCTTTCTATTTCAGTGTGTTTTGTTGTTTACTCTATTTCTGTCATCATATGTATTCACAAATGTAATATACAAATTTCTGAATATGCATAGCCTGCCTGTCAGAAATAATGTATTTGCATGTGAGTCAGAAGTGCAAATGCATCTCTCTTGGAGTATATAAGATTTTCCTTGCTATTTCTGGTGGCGAGAATTAAGTTTTGAACTTTCTACCCCATGCATGCATGTGTGTAAACAAAGGCCTAAAATAAGTCGACATGCATCTCGTATCCACACATTTTTGGAGGACCAATCTAATATTGACTCTTTTCCTTAATCATGTCATTGTAATGAGAGATAGAGGTGAAAGGGATAAAGGTTATTATTCTTCTCTAAAGTGAAGAATATGCAGTTGGTCCTTGGTTGGTAGTAGGAAACTAGAATTGGGATGGGGAGATTCTGAAGTACTCGCATTTTTCACTCCATTAATGTTTTTATGTTGTATGGGGTTTTTTAATCTTTTGAAGGATTGACATAACTTTCATTGTTTTGTTCCCTTCTCCTTCAGAGATAGAGGTTCATTTCTTTCCCTCAACTTTTGCCGACCATTCCTCTGTTTAACTGGAGCCTTATGAATCGAGTCTTTGAGTATATATTTAATATTTTATCATTGAAAGAGTTTTTTTTCCTCTTTATTCCCAAACCACAAGGAGAGATTTGGGGGGTAGAGGAGAAGGGGGAGAGGGGATACTCTCCTTATGTTACTTAGCGCCCGCTTGGCCCCATTATTCTACATTATAACAAGAGGAATAGTAATTTTTTGGAGAATGTGTGGTTAAAAAAGGAGAATGTGTTGGGTTTACGTGTAATATTATTTGTTAAAATGTGATTGATAAGAAGGAAGAGAAAAATAAATTATATTTTATTGGGGAATAATGGTGCCCAAACGGGGGCCTATTATCTGTAGATCACTATTGAGTGAAGCTCTCGAAGAGTTGTATTTATTGGTTGTTGGAATGCTTTCCTAATCTTTTTGAAATTATGATGGTGAAATTCAACCTCCACGTTTATGATCTAATAGGAGAATGTTTTGTTCTGGGGTTTTGGGGTTTAGTAGTTTCCGGAATGCCACCTATGGTTCTTGAACAATGTTGAATAGAATCCTTATCAGGCTACAGAAGTGTTTAGACTGGAAGGGTATTTTGTGATTGACAAATTACTTAATGAAATATTCAAGTGTAAAACGATGCTTGATGAATGGAGGATGAAATATTAGTCCTATTTTTAAGTGGGGATATTCAATATTATACGAATAGAAGGTATTAAGCTTGCGACGTGATTGTGCATATGTTAGATGGTAATCTGAAGTTTTTAGAAAATAAATTAGTGATGCCAGGACCTAAGAAGCAAATATTCAGATACAATATGAGGACATCAATACAACTTTTTCTAAAAAAAAAATTTAGGATACCCGGATACATGTATATATTTTTTTAATATATATATAATAAATGTATTTATGTGTGTAGTGTTTTAAGCAAGTTAAATCATAAAATTCAGCATAATTTCATTATTATGAAAAAAAAAAAACTAAAATAGAAATCTGACAATAGTTGTGAATTATTAACAATGTTTTATATGTATTATAAATTTTAATACTATAATCTACTCAATGATAAAACTATAGTTGTCAATTATTAATACGGTTTTAATGTATTAAAAGTTTTAATACTATTGACTAGTTGTCAATTATTTAGAACTCTAGTTGTCAATTATTTAATACTCTATATATTTTCGGTAATAACTATAGATTGTGTAGTTATCTATGATCTTAAAATGCATTTATTTTCGTTAATATTATTAATTAATAAATATTATTTATTTTCAATAAATTATTACAATAGTCATCTATTACGTAAAAAAATTTCATTTATTGCTAATAACAATGAGTTTTAAAAGAGTTTAAAACCAATAAGATCCTTCCTTTTCATGTGTCCAATATGTATCGGGAATTTAAAAATTATAAAAATCAATAAACGATATGTGTCCTATGCCAGAGTGTGTCCAAGCTTGGATACATATCCGTACGCAATACGCAATAAGTTTACACGTATCCGTGTTTCTTAGTGCAGACAATTCTTGTAGAATTTTGTTATTTACTACTAATTTAGGATTTAATTATTATTTGTTTTGCTATTTTTGAGTCGATAGTATTTCTAATTCTACTAAGAGTAGATTGTTACTTTTTTTTTTCTTTCTTTTTAGTATCTCTATTTCGTTTCTTAGTCTACTAAGATTAGGAGATTAACAATGTCCATGAGAAGAAGGCTAAACTTGTTTATAAACACAACTCAAATTCATTATATTCAGTTAAACAAACAATATTCTCAAGCTTTTAGCTTTTCTCATGTTTTTTCAAGATTCAATTTTTGCGGCTACACTAGAGTGTTTTTTTGCTGGGGAAATCTATCAATGTCATTTACAATATCAAGGATTGATAGATAGTAAAAATGAGAAGTAAGATTTTCATATGGTTTTTAATGTTTATTGAGCTAGAAATAAACATACAATTGGATTCCTAGAGAAGTGCAATGATAGGTACCACAAATGTTATATAATAAAGGAGCAATTTCGAGTGTGATA